TACCCACCCCAGCCACAACCTAGCAGCTGCCAGAAGCCCCCTGGGCTCCCCTGCCCGAATGAGGTGGGTGCCGCAGGCCTCAATCACGGCCCCACCTCCTTCCTTCTCCTCTCACACTATCCCCCCCCACCCCTTTCCCCAACTGCTCTGCAACATCATCTTAGAATGTTAAAAAAATAATAATAATAAAAATAAATAAATAAATAACAAAACTGTGTTCCTTGGAGTTCTGAGGATGCTAACAGACTTATAAGCGGAGTTGGGGGGAGTCAGACAAGTAATAATTATTCAGGAAATGCTAGTTTTTTCTGCCTAGAATCCTCATCCCTTTAATTTCTCCCAAAGCAATCATCCTATACTTTAAGACCTAACTCAAAGGCCACCTCTTCAATCTCTTCTGAACTCTCATAGCATTATGGTTGTGGTACAGCAAGTTAGAGCGCCTACCCACAAAGGCACCCTTTTATTTTAATTATTCAAGTACATTTTGCCTTCAATACTATATGTTTGCTTCATGAATTAAAGGATGCTGCCTTATCATGTATAGCAGATGTTCAAATATCTAATGCACTAATTTTTCACTTTTAATCTTTGTTTACAACTATAAACAAACTAAATGTCTATCAACAGAGGCCTATCCATACTATGCTTTCACATAACATCACTCAAAATTATACACATCTATATTCACAGGGCAACAGCTGTCCTATTAACACAGCAGTATTAACTTTTACTATCATTGAAAACAGAACAGCCCATATAAGAACAGTTTGAAAATTTTTCCAAAATGACAGGAAATTCAGAGATAACCGACAGCATATGAATATGGGAGCAGAAATGAGAGGGAAGGGTATAGAGTCTGTGAAGTAAAGAAGATACAACATCTGGGTTGCTGATAAGAACGAGAAAACTTCATAAAGGAAGAATATAGTGGGGCCGGCCCGTGGCTTACTTGGGAGAGTCTGGTGCTTATAACACCAAGGCCATGGGTTCAGATCCCTATATAGGGATAGCTGGTTAGCTTACTTGAGAGAGCATGATGCTGACAACACCCAGTCAACGGCTAAGATCCCCTTACTGGTCATCTTTTTTTTAAAAAAAAAAAGGAAAGGGAGAACATAGTAGAAATGAGGGAAATGAACAAAACATCAAAGTAGATATAACAGTCATTTCTTACAATTATAAACATGTCTACCCACCTGATTATTTTCTATTTCCCAGTGAATCACTTGATTATCAGATCCTCCAGAAACTAATTCAGTAGAAGGAGCTAAAAAAAATTATATCTCAGTAAATATTTTTGTTCATTTCATTTTTGCCCGACATATTTTTTAAAATTTCAAAGCTACAGAAAAGATGTAAGAACATCCCTACATCCTTTACCTAGATTCATAATTCAGAAACTGTTAACATTTTGCTATATTTGCTTAATATCTCACTCTCTATATATACACACATATACACACACTTCTTTCTGTGGGTAAAATCATTTAAAAATAAGTTGCAGACACTGTAACCTCTGATCATCAAAGACTTTACCATCTATCTCCTAAGAACTGGAAAATTCTTCTACATTACCATAATACAATTATCACACTCAAGAATTTTAACATTAATATAGTACTATTATGTAATATACAGTCCATATTAAAATTTCCCAATTTCGGCTCGCTGGTTAGCTCACTTAGGAGAGCATGGTGCTGGTAACACCAAGGTCATGGGTTCAGATCCCTGTACTGGCCAGCCACCAAAATAAACAAATAAAATTTCCCAAATTGTCCCAGTAATACCTCTAACAACTTTTTTGTTTTAGATTCAGAATTTAAGGATCACAGGTTGTACATATGGTTGTCACATCTTTTTAGTCTCCTTTAATCTGAAATAGTTTCCTAGTCCCCCCTTTTTGTGATAATGACAGTCCAGGCCAGTTGTTTTGAAGAACGTCCCTCAATCTGAATTTGTCTGATTGTTTTCCAGTGATTAGATTCAGGTTAAACAACTCTAACAAGAATAACATTACATTAGACATTATAGTCAGCTGCTGCGATCAAGTATACGACTTATTTTTGAGATCGGACACATACTTCAAAACATCTCTTTTAAACATTTACAACTTCTCGGTGATAACAGAAGAAAAGGGAATAAGTATCAAAAAGGGATGAAATAACCTAACATAATTGTGTTTTGGTTTGGATTTTCCATTTATTTGTTTTTTTCTGACCTATGTGCTAGATATTTAGGAGAAGCAGTGGGGGGACAGTCTACCTAGTTAGTCACATCCTAACTCTGCTGCCAGCCAACTGTGATCTTGGGCTTCAATTTCTTCATGCATCACAGAAATTAAGACAATTAATTATATGGTGTTAAGAATCACTACAATAAGGTACATGAAAGTAATATGTTAAACATCAGACATTTTAAGAATATGAAATGGTATTAAAATTTTATGTCACTGATACAAGGGTTAGAAAGGCTATCTGAATTATCTGGCAATAGAACCCTATTCTTAGAGAAAATCAATCAGTTACAGATCAGTGATAAACAAGTAATTCATTTTATGTAACCTCACTTTTAAAGGGAAGATAAAATATACACCCCAAATTAATATTTTATAACAAATCCCTAGACTGATAGGTAGTCTTTGATGTCATTTGGCGACAATTAATATGAGGATACATCAAAAAGTTCACGGAAAGATTTGTATTATCTTTTAATTATATTTTTCCATGAACTTTTTGAAGTACTATCGTAAAACAGTTGAGTTTTAACATCCACACTAACAGTCATCCCTTGTACTATTTAATGGTTTTTACTAACCTAATATGTGACTAACCCTGCATTACCAACTGAAATAAGTAGCGTACTAAACTTTAAAAAAATGTTACAGATAAAATCATAGCAAAGTCTCACTAATCATCAAAGTCTCACTAATTCGGGAAATTCTGCATTTGTGTCTGGCTCAGAATGCTCTCAATAATTATTCGTTTAATGAAAAGTAAAATTAATTCAGAGTCCTTCCTTAACAATACCACAGTAGGTATATTTTAAGACATTTAAGGAAATACCATAGGATTTCGGAAGCACCATCTAAAAATAATAAATACGTTAATTAAAAATTCAGAAATCAGAGAATCTTAGAGATGGAAAAAACCTACACATAATCTAGTCCAGCAATTTTCAAACTTTTTGGTCTTAGAACTCATTTATACTCTTAAAATTTTTAAAGACCCCAAAGAGCTTTTGATTACATGGGACATATGTACCAATCTTAACGATATTAGAAATTAAAACTGAGAAATTTAAAAAATACTTGTTTAATAGTTTACTTAAAAATAATGATGAGCACCATTATATGTTAACATAACATTTTTGTGGAGGAACAATTCTCAATATTTTCCAAAACAAAAATTGATGAGAAGAGAGGGACTATTTTAATTTCTGCAAATCTCTTTAACATGTAATTTTATTGGAACACAGCTGGATTTTTATATCTGCTTCTGTATTTAATCTGTGGCAATATCACACATCATATGGTCACTAGAAAACTCCACTGCACCCTTTTTGATGGCTGGCCTGTACGGGGTCCCGAACACTTGAACTTGGTGTTACAAAATCTCACTCTAACCAACTGAGAGGTAAACGGCCAGCCCTCTACTGTACACCTGTGAAAGAATGAGAATGAATACTTCTTAGTATTATTATGAAAATAATTTTGACTTCATAGGTCTTGTGTACCTCCAAGCATCCCTTAACCTAGTCCAATCCTTTACTTTTCAGATGTTACATAGGTGCAAACTGGGGTCAACAGAGATGCAACTTCTTGTCTAAAAAAGCGATAGCAGGTTGGCCAGTTAGCTCAGTTGGTTAGAGCACTGTGTTACAGTACCAAGATCAAGGGTTCAGATTCCCATAATGGTCAGCTAAGGGGGAGGAGGGGGAAGCAATAGTTTGTCTGTGGCAAAAACATACCTAAAAGCTGAGTATTCTGTATTCCAGCCTCAGCCTAGGTCCTGCTTACAGATTTTCAGTCAAAGGCTATATATACACATATAACATATATATATATGGCAATGGGGATTGGTGGGAGGGGGAGGTCTTGCCATAATCAAGGGTTACCTCTATCCTCATCCTAAGCACTGCTGTGTTATCCATGCTTCAACTGCTAAGAAGTGAAAATACAGGTCAAATATTTCACTGGGCATACCATTTTTCTTCTATTTTCCAGTTGCATAACATCAGATAAAATAATGCTACAAATTAAGAGAAGTGATGAAAGAAAAATGAGTAACCACACTTTATCAGAAAACAATTGAGATCACCTTTAACAATCAAATTAAAACTTACAGCCATCCTGTTTACAAATCCACTGGATGCAATTGACTCGAGCAGTGTGACCATTCAGGTTGGTAACAACAACCCTTTTCTTGAGAGAAGAAAACACCAGTTAGTAAAATTAGAATTTATCCTACAAAGGAATTGGAAAATTAATAAAAATCAGATTTCAGTGTTTTCAATGTTAATAAGAGAATCAGGATCGTATATTTGCCTTCCTCAGTTCATAAACTTTTAACTATGGCTTTCGCCATCAATTCACTCTAAATCATCCTGCATTTCTTGAAACTCTCCACTTTCCTGGCATCCTGTGCTCTCATTTATACTGATCTTACAGGTCTTCATCTGCCTAGTTCTGCTCACCTCCCCATGGTGCCTACCCACATCCTTTTCGCCTCAGGAGCATGTCCTGACACCCCAGGCTAGATAAGCAGCCTCTTCCTTGTGCTCCCACAGGTCTCAGGGTCTACTTTTACCATGTTTGCATCAATTTGAGGGCTTCAGTGACCCAAAAAAAGTCAAAAAATCTTCCAGTAGAGGACTTCATGATTAAATGGATACAAGTTCATGGCTCATTTGCATGCCAGGTGGTAAGTTCTTCAGCCCCAGTGACATAAGGTCACGAGATCACAACTACTAAGGTTCTCACACATCAGATCCTTGCAGGGCCTACCTCCAGGTTCCCAGCAGACCCTCAGCCTGCTGCTTTCACCAACCCCACTCCACACTTGAGCTTCCCTACTCCAATTACTGCTGAAGATTTTAACTACGTCTTTCTTATTTGTTGCTAACAGCACTGTCTTCCTATCGGCTTATACACCAACTGGAATTCTCAGGAGTGAGAAAAAGGAACACAGAGGCAAATGTGCATATTTCACACATGAATTATTTGAGGCTGGAAAACAATTTACTGTTCATTGTCTCTCCCACTATACTGAGAATTCCTTGATGGGCTGGAATGGAACTCATTATCTTTGTGTCATCACCACCCACTAGCCCAGAAGGTCCTCAAAAATTTGCTGAATGAGCATCATTCCCAAAACTTTATTTTACGATTTGTCATGATCTTATTCCTACATACAATTAAATGCTCAACTGGCAAATATTAAACAAAGTACTTTTTAGGCTCAATACACTTCCTTTTTGGTATGTTAAAAAGCCCTAATACGGCTACAAGGTTATCTTTAAAAATGTGATGGAAGGCGTGAGCACGAATCCAATTACAGTGCTGCACCAAGACAGGCTTCTGCAGCTGAGTCAGTCCTTGGTTGCCAGTCACTGTAAAGTTTACCCTTGGTTTTATGTGCTTTCTCTTGCTATTCAAGAATGTATGGCAATTAACAAGGGAAAAAAACCGAGAAGAGACAAACAAGCTCAAGATAGGGAAAAGTAAATAAAAATACTTCGTATTTCCAATTTATCAATTTGCAAAGAGTATGAGAATAATGGAATTTTTAATCAAATGAATAAAGTAGTACAATAAAAAACACACACGGCCATCTCCTGCGCTGCATTTTAATTTTCAGCATTTTACTTTTTATACTGGGGCCCCTTGTGAGATGCCTCAAGAAAATAATCAAGTGACTGGGTGAAACTCGGGGAATGGCTATGCCCTGCCTTATAATCAAGGCTTAAGAATCCCTTCACCTATGACGTTTCCCCCAAATGGCACTTTCCTTAAAATGTCCATTGCCGTGGGTAAAACACAGGTAATATTTATTTGAAATTCAATACAACAAAAGTTCACTTACCAAGACTGAGGAAAACAGAGAAATGAAATACCATCTGTGGGACAATGGCTTTAAGCCCTACCTACGTTTCAGTTCTTTTAAAACCGGCTGATTCTTTAACAGGACTACAGCTCCCAAGGAAAGCTTCAGGTAAGGTTACCATCATTCGGGATTCAGCGCGGGGCTAACAGGCCACTGGCAGGGCAAGGGCCGCCGTGACAGCGGACTGACGCAGTTTGTGAGACGGCGAGAAACGAGTCCGGCGCGCCCACGGCAGCCTCCTCTCCCAGACCCACTCCCCTGAGCCGACCCGACCGCGCACTCGGCCTCCTAGTCGTAGGCGGCAGCTACAGTCCGCCCGGGCGCGCCCGGGAGCTTCCGCCCCAGAAGCACATGGGTCGGACGTCCCACTACCCCTTACCTGAGGGTCATAGAGCACCACAGAGCAGGACGTGCCGAAGGCCAGAAGTCCTCCGGGCCCGGAGCTCCAGCTCAGGACTCCCCGCACTCGGTTTGGGCAGCAAAACACGTGAGCGGCCTCCAGCACGGGTACCACCATGTTGCCGGACTGGTCGGCGGGCGACACCGACGCGCACACTTCCGCCCTCGGAGCGGAACTACTGGCGTGTCCGCTTCTCCTGGTGCCTCATCCGCTCGGCGTTTCGGAGGCGGCCCCGCCCCCCGCCCTGGCCCTAGTGCATCTCCAGCACGCGCTCAGACCGCAGCACGAGGCAGCCGCTACGAGCTCTCTTTTCGTGGGCCGTGGGCCAGCCACGAGCAACGTCTCCGTCCCAGGAGCGAAACCCCAGCGGAGTAGCTCGGGACCCTCCAGGAGGATCTGGGGTCGTGTGCCAGGGCAGCGTCAGAGTCACCCCGCTGCCTTTTACTGCCCAGTTCCCAGCAGTGGACAGGGCTGGCCTGGGCGGCCTCGGCAAGCGAGTCTCGAGCCTTAGAGAAGCTCAGGGGCGCGGCGGGGCCCAAGAAAAGGACCCCAAACTGCTCACAGTCCTCTCGGACCGCACCACTACCTCCCGCCCCGTGCCCCTGCTAGCCCCGCGCGCCTGCGGACACGCGGAAAAGCGGATCCGTCTGCAGAGACAGGGTTTGGAGCCGCATTGCGCATGCCCCGCAGTCATGGCAGGAGGAGGCGGTGGCTCCCGGCGGCGCGCGGCGCGCGGCGGTAATTAGTGATTGTCCTGCTCCGGGGAGGCGCGGGGCGCGGCTGAGTGGCAGCACCCCCGGACCGAGGCGCGCCCTGTAGAGGTTTCTCGAAGAGACCAGCGCGGGCCTGTTCTGAGGCCTCCGGACCGCCCGCGGGAAACCGAACCTGCACACGGGGTCGGGTCATAGGACGGCGAGGCCGCGGAGAGGTGAGACCCGCAGGTCCGGAAGGGGGGCGGCGGGGAGGAGAGCCCCGCGGGCCGGGCAGACAGAGGGGTCGGAGACGGCGGTCCTGCGGGCCGGGCAGGGGGCTGCAGAGGAGGCTGCCGGGGAGAGTCCGCCACTGGCGCGCACTCGCCGGGGAGAGCCAGACTTCCCAGCTTGGGGTGCCCAGATGGGCTTCGGGGCCCAGCGGAGGACCTTCTGAGGAGACGGTCTGTATGTTTCATCCCGTATTCGAAGAAGGTACTGACGTGTTTAAAAATAAAAAGCCTTCAGCAACAAAGCTTTGTGCTCCCACTCCCCCTTTCTCCACTCACGGGTTTCTCCAAGGCCCTTTCCTTCGGCTTGCTTTTTTCCTCCAGCCCGCGCCTACTTGCTGGAATCCGCGGACCGGTTCGCGACCGCCCTCAGCATCCTCCCTGGAGGAAGGCACGGAGCTGCTTGGAGCTGCCCCCTGTGCTGGTCCCCACCCACCCCACTCCTCGTCTCTTTCCTGGGAATGATTTCTCACTGGTTCTCTTTAAATGAACTCCCAGAACTCAGGCCCCGAAGATTCTTTCAGGAGTCTACTCCTACGCTAGTTATGTACTTCTGTTTCTACTGCCCTCAGTGTGACAAGCAGTGTGTGTACAACGCATGAGTTTAACTACAGTTCCACATACATTCGTGTGTGTGTTTTGCTGTTCATCCTGCAAAATTGGTATTACTGGTTTTTAAAATAAGGTGATGAATATGGGAGCCTGGTCCAAGGAAGAACAGCTGAAAGCGGTAGAGCTGGGTTGCCCATCGGAAACCCAACCTCTGCGTATTTTGCCAGAGACATCCCCATCCACCTTTGGTGCTGGATATCTGCTGGGTCCTGAGTTATCCGCCTGTCAGCTTAGCTGACTATGCTGTACCTTCCTCTGGTTAACTAAATTCTGCTTTTGAAGCCGGAGCTTGATTCCTAACTCCTGTTTGGGGCATAGGCCTTTGGTTCCGAACACTATTGTGTGCAGTCCGTGACAAAATTTTCACTGTTTTTTAGCAACATTAGAGTGATATAGTGAGCTTTTCATGAAGTTTAATTAATGATTATTACGCAGCCATTCAAAAGAATAAGGTACATCTATATGTACTGACATGAAAGCATATCTGATTCATTGTCGAATGGGAAGAAGGATCCCATTTGTAGCAACATTAGAGTGATATAGTGAGCTTTTCATGAAGTTTAATTAATGATTATTACGCAGCCGTTCAAAAGAATAAGGTACATCTATATGTACTGACATGAAAGCATATCTGATTCATTGTCGAATGGGAAGAAGGATCCCATTTGGGTGTTTACAGTACACATCTATTTGAGTAAGCATAGAAAATGTCCTGAGGGGTACAGGAGAAACTGACAAAATTGAGCAACTTTGAGGAGTGGGGATTGAGGAAAAGAGTACTGAATGGATTTAGATATAAGGAGAGTGTGTTCGTTTAAGAATAAAAATTTAGTGGATTTTGAGATAATCATTTCTACTTTTTTGGTGTTAAAAGATTCTTTTATGAAATGATGGTGATAGTGGAGGTAGTTAGGTTTTGTTTTTGCTTTGTCTTGTCTCGAATCTTTGTTCTCAACACAGTAAGTTGCCAGTATGGCTGTAGCCATGTGGTTCTCTCCTGTCTCTGAATTAGTTACTTTACAGTGCTAAATACAGTCTCTTAGCACTCAGCTGTTTTCCAGTTGTTCCAAGTGTTTTAGCAATGCAAAGGTAGAGCCTAGTACTTAGTTCTATGTATCTTCACAGTACTTAGCACCATACTGACCACACCAAATGATACTCTGTAAACCTTGATTATTTGATTAGACATCAGTTTTTGCATGAGGTTTTTAATTCAAATTGTTTTAGAAGTTGATTTTTTTTTTCTGTTTTTTCTAGGAAGGTGCAATGGCAAGAAATTTATCTGTAGTCTTGATCCTGACCTTCGCCCTTTCAGTCACAAATCCCCTTCATGAACTAGAATCAGCAGCTGCTTTCCCTCAGACCACAGAGAAAATTAGTCCAAATTGGGAATCTGGAATTAATGTTGACTTAGCAGTTACCACACAGCGACATCATCTACAACAGCTTTTCTACCGCTATGGAGAAAATAATTCCTTGTCAGTTGAAGGGTTCAGAAAATTGCTTCAGAATATAGGCATAGATAAGATTAAAAGAATCCATATACACCATGACCACGAGCACCACTCTGACCACGAGCATCACTCTGACCACGATCGGCACTCTCACCGTAATCATGCTGCTTCTAGTAAAAACAATCGGAAAGCTGTTTGCCCAGACCATGACTCTGATAGTTCAGTTAGAGATCCTAGAACTAGCCAGGGGAAAGGATCTCACCGACCAGAACATACTGATGGTAGAAGAAATGTCAAAGAGGGTGTTAGTGCTAGTGAAGTAACCTCAGCTGTTTATAACACTGTCTCTGAAAGAACTAACTTTCTAGAGACAATAGAGACTCCAAAACCTGGAAAATTCCTCCCCAAAGATGTAAGCAGTTCCACCCCACCCAGTATTACAGAAAAGAGCCGGGCAAGCTGGCTGTCTAGGAGGAAAACAAATGAGTCTGTGAATGAGCCCATAAAAGGCTTTATGTATGCCAGAAACACAAATGAAAATACTCAGGAGGTAAGATAAGTGCTTTTTATTATTTTAACATACCTGTTTGTCTGTCCTGTCATTACCACTCTACCTCTAGTTGTAAGGAGTTTAAAGTAAAAATAAAATGGTGAAGCTGTTGAAAAGGGAATTTCTACCTTCTCAGCAAGGCACTTAGCTCAAAGTGTGCCTACTATGTTGTAAACATTTCTGATACAGAACTTGGGGAATAGTTCTTTGGTGAGCGTAGTGCTGCCTACTAAAATTTTTTTCTAATATAGAATGTAAAATACATATAGAAAGATATCAAGGTTATTTTTGGAGAAAGTCTTTGAAAATGAACATTATTAATAAAAATAGGAAATAGAGGGTTGAAAAGCATTAGTTAGAATCCACGTTTTAGGAAAAGGTGTGGCTGAAAAGCTGAAAAACACTGAAGAGCAGTGCTGCCTCCTTGACAGAAGTATCGCAATGACTTGGAGAGTGAAATTGGAGCAGCGAAAAGTCTGGACAGTGAGGTTCTAAGTTCATGTGGATTTTCTAGAATAGACTTCCAGACTGTAAATAAATTTACCTTGGCTGAGAGATTTCATGAACAAGGAATTAGTTGGTATACTTTAATAAGCAAAACTTAAGTACTTCATTCAAACCAGCCTATAACTTTACTAATTCTGGAATAATTCTACTAATGCTCATAGCCATAGCAACACTGGAGATGAAGTTTGTTCTGAGTAGTATTGGCCAAGAATTGTGGGAGTTTAAAATATCTTTATGGAAGATGAGAAACAGGCACTACAGCCAAATTTTTTTTTTATGGGGGGGGTTAAATTGCAGAGTTTCTCTTCAAACTAAGCTTGTCATCTAATTAAATTGTTGAAAACATCTGCCTGCTGGTACAGGCTTGTTTTATTAACCAGCATTGCAGATTATAAGAATAATCTGCATAATTTAATATTTTCTCATTGTAGAGCATGATTTGCCAGGTATTTAGACAGAACTGAGCTGAGTTTTTGCAAGCAGGGTCATTGCTGGAAGGAGCGACACCTCTTGGGCTTGTTTAGGCCAAGTAGGATTGCATTAGTACTAAAACAACATATTTCTCAATCTCTAATGAACTCCATTTTGAAATTAAAGCTCATTTCCTTAACTGGTTTATACAATGAGTTAATAGGCTTGTGAATCTTCATTTATCTCCAAGCTTGTTCCAGTTGAGGCTTTGTCCAGGAGAAAGCCTCCTAGGTGATGCAACTGCTTTCCCAAGAAGTAGGCAGAAGAGATAAGATACCATCGTTGTGACAGTATCTCTAGGTTGCTTGAGGCAAATTCTAAAGTACTCAAAACAAAAGTTGGTTTTAATAAAGCTTAAGTTGCGATAACTTAAAAAGATAAAAGAGGTAGCTTTAGTAAAGAAAGGATGTTGTGTCATCAAACCACAAGTGGTCTCCAAAAAGTTCATGGAAGGATTTGTATTATCTTTTAATTCAGTTTCCATGAACTTTTTGAAGTACCCTCATACTTTTTGGGATTCTCTCATGGGAACGCCTTTTAGTGATTTTCACTGCTTTGTTTCCTTCAGTGTTTCAATGCGTCAAATCTGCTTATGTCTCATGGAATGGGCATCCAAGTTCTGCTGAATGCAAAAGAGTTCAACTATCTCTGCCCAGCCATCATCAATCAAATTGATGCCAGATCTTGTCTGATTCATACAACAAGTGAAAAGAAAGCTGAAATCACTCCAAAGACCTATTCTTTACAAATAGGTACAATTGCCTTTTTTATGTAAAAATAATTTCTAGTAGATACATTTATGTTGTACTTTTTCTTACATTTCCATTGACCTATTCATTTTTTCAGTGTAATTCCAAATACATCATTGTAGTTGGTCTCTTCCCTGAATGTAAAGAAAGCAAGCATGTTAGCCCACCCTTAAAAAAATAAATAAATAAAACTTAGATTATGACTTGCCTGAGGTCATCCCACAAGATGTGTCAGGATATCTACAGTTTGGGCTTTTTATGTCTTGTCATACTACTTAGGAGGAGGGTCAGAGTTCACCTCTGCTGCTTCGGAGCCTAATTTTGGTATGTTCTTATTGATGAGTGAAATTAGCATAAGTTCTATTATAGTATAGAGTCATGTTGCTTGAGAGCTGTAATAAGAAATAATTGCTTCGTTCACTGAGGAAGTTATTGAGTTCCTGGGTTTTTGTTTTAAATTTTTGGTTTGATTTTGGTTTTGGTGGCTGGCTGGTATGGGGATCCGAACCCTTGACCTTGGTGGTGTTAATACTGAGCTCTAACCAACTGAGGTAACCGGCCAGGTTTGTTTTTAATTTTTAACTTTTATTTCTTCTCTTTCATAATTTAGCTTTTATGGGAGTCTGAAAGCTCAGTTCTCAAGTGAGTTAGAGTTCATCCTTGGTAACCATTTTTTCCCTCTCTTCACCCCATCTGAAGAATTTTCTACTAGGCTTATGCTCCTTACGTGGAGAGATCTTAAGTACGTCAGGTTGTTAATTTGAGCCAGCAACAGTTTCTTGCTTACTGTGCTATTGCCAAAGTCCTAATCACATTGAATTTGTGTTTCTTTAGATTCTCTGCTTTTATGTGCTGCTTTATGCTACTCTCTAAAACTCTCTTTTTAAAAGTTTATCAATTGTATGATTTTCCTTTGCTTTGTTTTGTTTTGTTTGACAGCCTGGGTTGGTGGCTTTATAGCCATTTCCATCATCAGTTTCCTGTCCTTGCTTGGGGTTATCTTAGTGCCTCTCATGAATCGGGTGTTTTTCAAATTTCTCCTAAGTTTCCTTGTGGCCTTGGCCGTTGGGACTTTGAGTGGTGATGCTTTTTTACACCTTCTTCCACATGTAAGTACAGTAACTTTTCCTATTAGTGTTTTATTATTCAACATTGAAAAAGTTATTTTTGGTTTATACTAGAATTCTTTGTATCAATATATATAAAAAGGTTAGAAATTTGATTTAGAGAAGTTGATTTTAAAATATATTTGGTAATAAAAAGCTACATTTTTATCCTAGATCTTAATATATGTTCTTTTTTTTTTTTTTTTTTGCCTTTTTTTAAAAAGGAATTTACTAAATACAGACTAATTTTCTGGAGCCCACTTAATAAAAGGAGACAAACTCTGCTCAGATATTAGTACCGTGACAGTGTGAATTATCTACTTACCTGCTAGTATAATTGCCACGGAAATAAAATATGTGACCCTTTTTGTACCCAACAAACTTAGAGGTTTTCTTCAGAGTTGAATTTATGTGTCTATTTAGAGAGTTACACTTCATGACATGAATGAACTCTTAAATAAAACAAGTTTGGTAAAGTGAATTTACATTTACCATTAAATATTTGGAATAGGTGCTCAGGCAGAAAATATTTGGATCTTATTTTTTAAATTTCCCTCAGAAATTTTCAGGTAAGTGGAAAGGAAATTACTCTACTCCTAAAGCACTGCAGATCTCAATGTTCCATTCAGTAGTGAAAGAAAACATTTTGCTGTGACAAGCTCTATGACTACTAGCTGGCATATGTTCATATCTACTGCACAAAGGAGCACACACATGCAGTGTACTCTATAACCCCTCCAGTCTCACCTCTGTTAGCATGTTCCACACCTGATTACCTAATATACAGTAGCAGTAGTTATTACTGCAATCACCTGCAGCCGGCCAGGGCAGTGCACTCAGGTCTCAGATACCTACCAGGGCCCATCACTACACACAGGCTAGGCTTTTTTTTTTGTCTTTTTCGTGACCGGTAAGGGAATTGCAACCCTTGGCTTGGTGTCGCCCGCACCGTGCTCAGCCAGTGAGCGCACCGGCCATTCCTATATAGGATTCGAACCCACGGCGGGAGCGTCGCTGCGTTCCCAGCGCCGCACTCTCCCAAGTGCGCCACGGGGCCGGCCCCAGGCTAGGCTTTTTACAAGGCTAGTCTGATGACACTGGTATGGGCTATTTGGTTGGGAATATAAGCAGTAGATACCATATGCCTATTAAGTCTAGCAGTTCTCTGTTATTTGTGGCTATAGTAACTTGTGAAACAGTGGAAATACTACCTATATATTATGAGGGTAACTGGGGAATGTATGTGTCCTTATGTAAACAGACCCATTCTATTAAATGCCATGGTACATTACGTACATTAAGCTCTACATAGCAAGCTGCCCCATTGGTCATTTTATTTTTAATGTTTTAAACTTCCTCTCAGTTCTGAAGTATTCCATTAACTGCCTAATTCTGAATAATATCAAATTTGACTGTACTATCTTGGCCAATTTTTCTGATATATGAAACTAGTGAATTTATAAATTATATATAATTTTGCTTTTAGTCTCATGCAAGTCACCACCATAGTCATAGCCATGAAGAACCATCAATGGAAATGAAGAGAGGACCACTTTTCAGTCATCTGTCTTCTCAACATATAGAAGAGAGTACCTATTTTGATTCTACATGGAAGGGTCTGACAGCTCTAGGAGGCTTATATTTCATGTTTCTCGTTGAACATGTACTCACATTGATCAAGCAATTTAAAGATAAGAAGAAAAAGGTAAGAAAAAAGTATACTGAGTACTTACTGTGCATCAGACATTATTTACAGTGGTACTCTAGCTAGACTGTTAGACTAGCTTGTCCAGGGTGTGTGTTCTTTTTTTTTTTTTTTTTTTTAAGATGACCAGTAAGGGGATCTTAACCCTTGGCTTGGTGTTGTCAGCACCACGCTCAGTCAGTGAGCGAACCAGCCATCCCTATATAGGGATGTCATACATCCGAACCCATGACCTTGGTGTTATCAGCACCGCGCTTGGTGTTGTCAGCACCACGCTCAGCCAGTGAGCGAACCAGCCATCCCTATATAGGGATGTCATACATCCGAACCCATGACCTTGGTGTTATCAGCACCACACTCTCCCGAGTGAGCCACGGGCCAGCCCTCAGGGTGTATGTTCTTTAGTTGACAGGAGGTTCAGTATCTTGGAGTACTTTTTAGACCCAGAGGCATTCATGTAGAACAATTCTGTATCTTGATGACCCTGGAGTTTTCCCGCCTTCAATCTTCTTTGAAACTCATAAGGGTAAGAAAGGCAAGGATAAACATCTATATAAATGACTAAACAAGGTACAAGCGGGGCCTTAAAGACCAGAAGTGTCATGATACACTGTCTATATTTATTGGTGGTTATGATTATTGTGATTCATTTTAAATTATTTATCCAGTAGCTGAACGTTGTTTTGTTTCTAAGGATATGTGACTTTCACAGGCTTGCCCTTTGCAAATGGGATCAGAAAATAGTAGGAAGCCAAATAGTAGGCTCTTTATTTCTGGGTAAAAATACTTCTGAGTTGCCTGTGGTTATCTGCCTCTTCTGATCTGATGTGATCAGGCAGGTCAGTCAAAAGACTTTCAGAAGGGAGACTCTTAAAAATGATGTGCACAGATCTCAGACACTTTAACTTAAATCATCTGGGCTGGCCAGTTAGCTCAACTAGGGAGAGCACAGTACTGAAATGAGGATTTGAGCTAAAATTAAGACGCAGAAATTTAATGTAGGTTATATTTCTTTCACACATGAGTTTTTGGACTCATCTAAAATTCCCACTGCCCACATATTCTGATGAAAATGAAATCAATGCTTGAAGTAGAAGACAAAAATATCACTACTTTCACCTACATAAAACAAAAAAATTGGGTGATTCAATCCATTGGGTCAATCCATTTAATCAACTCAATTAAAAAAAAAAAAAAAACCTTCAAAGAAAACCTTGGTCAACATCAAATGACCAGAATATGAGAGTACAGATGTTTTATTTTTTCATTTTTGGTGGCTGGCCGGTATGCAGATCCGAACCTTTGACCTTGGTGTTATTGGCACTGCACTCTAACACACCTGAGCTAACCAGCCAGTCCCTGAGTTGAAGTTTTATATCTTTTTTTTTTCTTTTTAAACAGCCATGCTGCTTTGTCTACAATTTTCAGTTTTGGTTTCTCAAAAATTGAACAAGAGGTTACACACTTGTAAACTATTCTGAGTGTGGAACCTAGATTGTGGAAATTTAAAAAATTTTATGCAGTGATTACCTTACATAATTAGATAGCCTTTTGTTTGTTTTAGCAACTTGCCTTTGAATCTTTTTAAAGCATTCAACTTGTGTATTCGTAGAGGTAACTATTCTTACCATCATTTTGTAGTTTGAGCAATATGTAATTAAATTGTGTAATTATAATAACAAGGATAACTGGCATGAAGAAGTTTGAAAACTAACAAGGTTGATTCTTCTGAGCATAGAGCTCACTGTGGGAAATAGAAATGCATTTGTGAACAAGAGAGTGGCCTCCTTATTCATCCTATGAATATTTGCACTTACGGATTTTACATTCACTAAGATCTCAAATTGCAAATTTTGAACCTTGTCTTTAGTGGACCTGAATTTAAAGCGAAGAAGTAAAATAAGAATAGCGTATTCATTCTTAATCTAGGAAATTATCTTCTGTGTTCCTGTTGTCCCAATTGCTTCACTTGGGCTGGTTTGAGGATACATCCTACTTCTTTATGTCCTCTGAAATCATTCTTACCTTTAAGAAATATGACCGTTTTTGTTTTGGGGAGGGGGGCTTAGGATTTTTTTTTTTTTACTTTGTTTCTGGTTCAAGTGCCATAATTTATTTAACTTTCTAGTTTCAATTTAGTTTTCAAATTTTACCTAAAGGAAGTTTTTCTTTAATCTGGTACTCTTTAATCTGGACCACTAAGAAATAGACTCTCTATTATCTATAATAGAACAGTTTTTCTTTTCCAACCCTATGTCATAACTCTAGGTTATTAGTGAGATATGAAGTTAGTTTGTATTATAACCAGTACTTTTAAATGCAACAATCATTTTACAGTGTATTACATGTATTACTATGTATAAATTACATATGAGGGTACTTCAAAAGTTTGTGGAAAAATAGAATTAAAATATAATATGAGTCTTTCCTTGAACTTTTTGAAGTGCCCTTGTGTATTACTGTGGCTTATAGTATGAGAAGTATGATAATCTCTCTGCTAAAATAGTATCTGTGAGAATTTAAGTTCTTAAGAGCCAGGACCTCTCTGTCTTATTTACTGCTCTATTTCCAATGCCTAGAATAGTGTCTGGTACATAACAGATGACTGATAAATATTTATTGAATATATAAGGAGCATGAAACAGCAAGTAAGCGTAATTTCTAGACAAAGACTTCCCACTGGAGTTTTGCAAACATTACATGTTCTTTTCCTTTTTTAGAATATATTGAGTTTATCTTTGGTCAAGGGGATTTAGATCTTAATGTTCCCTAGTAGTTTTTAATCTCATTTGGTGTTCTCAAAAAGAAAAAAACTATTCATTATATGGTGAGTGTTGGGAGCTCTTTAGGCCCGTAAGAGGACATTTTCCTTAAAAGATCCATCCTGGGGGCCAGCCCGTGGCTCACTTGGGAGAGTGTGGTGTTGATAACACCAAGGCCACAGGTTCGGATCCCTATATAGGGATGGCCGGTTAGCTCACTTGGGAGAGCATGGTGCTGACAACACCAAGTCAAGGGTTAAGATCCCCTTACCGGTCATCAAAAAAAAATCCATTCTGCACCCCTGGGAGGTTCTATATATCATAGTTTAGGTTACCTGCTATATAGGTCAATTTGAAATCTCTACCTTCAAGTTAGGGCTACACATCATGCTTAATATACTAGGGTCTTCAAAAAGTTCGTGGAAATAGTCGTATTATCTTTTAATCCTATTTTTCTATGAACTTTAAAGTACCTTCAGTATAATATGACCCTTATAATAGTTCAATTTCAAACTTTCTTTTTACCCATGAAGATTATTGCTCCTGCTGGATACTGGAGAATCATCTGTGACATCCCCCTCATCCCCATATCCAATTAAGTTTTGTTAAATATCTCATGTTCTTTCCATTTCTCTTCATCTTCTTTGTTGTCATTCTAGTCCAAGCCATGGTTATCTTCCACCTGAGTGACAGCTGTTGCATCCTAACTGGCTTGTTTACATTGTTTTGTTTTGCTCCTTTTCCAGTCCAGTTTTCACAGAGCAGGCAGTGATTTGTTGAAATGAAAATATGATGAGGTATGTCACTACTTAAAATCCTTCCTTCAGTGACTTCCTGTTGCTTTTAGGACAGAGCCCACTACTCCTGATGTGGTTTGCCTTGTCTGGTCTCCTTCAGCTGTCCCAGCCTCATTTCTATCCATCCCTCCTCTCTGACCTACAAGGACCCAGCCACCTTGTACTTTCAGTTCCAGGACAGTGCTGGTCTCTTCCTGCTTCAAGGCCCTCTCACAAACTATTCTCTGTGCTTGGAATACTGCCTCCTCCACTCTTCCCCTGCAAACTCCTACTTATCTTTAGGTATTGGTGTAAACGTCACATTTTTTCAAAGGAGTCTGTCCTAAAACTTATTTGGGTCTTATTATACACTGTAATAGCACTCTGTGTTTTACCTTTGTAAAATGTATTGAAAATTGCAATCAAAGAATTGTATAATCATTATCTGTGAAAAGCCTCTCTCCCTGTGGATGATAAGCTCCATGAGAACAGTGACTATGTGTCTTCTTTTACATTGTACTGCCAGCACTTAGCTTGGGGGACATTATAGGTCCTTAATACTTATAGAATAAAAGAATTGATTAAATTATTAGTTCTAGAGTCATTGCCTACTTAGAAATAAAGCACCAATAAAAATGACTTAAGATAGCCTGAATTCATCTATTTCCACAAGATTTTAGTACTTTTTCTGATTGAGGCACTATGCTAGGGGTTCATATAAAGACTTGTCTGTTTGCCTTTAAAAACTCTTATAGCCTAAGAATGTATAGATATCTTGTACACTGTTAGAGTGTGAATGAAATCTCAGGTCTGGTGGTGATTGTTTAGGTTATATTCAAAGGTACTGCAAATAACAAATCTATTTGTGATAATTTTCATCATTTTAAATATTATCTTCTACATAATAGATATACACAGACAACATGGTTCAAACAATGACCTTTATGCAACATAAATGTTGCTTGGACTCAGGAGCATTCTCTCAAGCACGGTATTTGGGTGGTTAAAATGCCTAGTGATAAATTCAAGGCTAACTAATAGAAACTTGTTTAAAAAGAGAAAGAATGTTAATGTTTTATTAAGGAATAGTATTTTAATTATAATAACTAAAAAACTAAGTATAGTTTTAGATTATAAAAAAGTATGAGAAATACGGGGTTTCAGTATCCAAAAGAGATATGGAGAAAACCAAGTGGTTGGTTAGCAGATCACTAAATACCTAAGGGAAATACCTCTAGCTGGTTCTAAATGATAACCCAAGGTAGAACTTCTCAATTTTAATGTGCATATGAATCATCAGGCATCTAGTTAAAATCCCCATTCTGATTCATTAGGTCTGGGGTGTGGCCTGAAGTTGTTCATTTACAACAAGCTCTCAGGGGGTACTGTGCTGCTGTGTAAGACCACACTTAGAGTAGATGACCTAGGGGACATTCAGGGAGATGAATGACTTTTCTACATCTCATGTTACTGAGGTATTAATTCTTTTTTATTTATTTTATTTTTTATTTTTTTGTGACCGGTAAGGGGATGGCAACCCTCGACACGGTGTTGCCCGCACCGCTCTCAGCCAGTGAGCGCACCGGCCATCCCTATATAGGATCCGAACCCGCGGCGGGAGTGCCACTGCGCTCCCAGCGCTGCACTCTCCCGAGTGCGCCACGGGGCCGGCCCTAATTCTTTACCTTTCTGACAGTTACTATGCCTAAGGTGCACTACTAGGTGCTGTGCAAGATAAGTGCAGTCCTGCCCTTGGATGGCTTTTACACAGTAGAGGTCTATTACACTGTTGTCTTTTTCAGTGTCTTTTTCTTACCTGTTTGTTTAAAGCTGTACATATAAGCAAATCAACTATTTTAAAGTTTTGCTTTCCCTTGCTATTTTAGAATCAGAAGAAACCTGAAAATGAGGATGACATGGAAATTAAGAAGCAGTTGTCCAAATATGAATCTCGGCTTTCAGCAAATGAGGAGAAAGTAGATACAGATGATCGTAAGTTCTTACGAGTGAATCTGAGTCATTGCTCTGTGATTTGCAGGCACCCCAGGCTCTCTGGGAGAGATGAGACCATGTCCTTTTGTTTGTTTGTTTTTTTAACATCTCTTTTTTTTTTTTCTTTAATTGCCAGTGAGTAGGTTGTTTCTGTGTGAATTACATTTATTTTTTCTCTAGTTTTTTATTTTGAGGTAAATTCAGACTTACAGAAGAGTTTAAGGAATAGTATAAAAAATTCCTGTATTCCCTTCGCTCAGGTTCCTCACTTATTTTATCACGCAATTATTTATTATTCTCTCTTTCTCTAAGTCTCTATACAGGCACAAATTTTTCTCTGAACCATTTGAGAATAGGTTATGGATAAAGAATAGGATATCTTTATCCCTAAATACTTCGGTGTATGTCTCCTAAGAAAAAGGACATTCTCTTAATATAATCCTCCCTACCCGCCCTTGCCAAAAAATTGGTCCAGAGTGCAATCCAGGATCAGAAGTTGCACTTAGTTGGCTCTCCTTTGGAGATTGTGTGATATTTTTTCATGGTTAGATCAGTTTTGGCAGGAACACCACATGTCTCGTGACATGGTGTGCCACCTGATGTGATGCTCTGTCACTAATTGGTGATGGCAATTTTGATCACTTGTCTAAGGTTGTGTCCATCATTCTCCATTGTAAAGTTACTATTTTTCCTGTAACTTGAGTGTTAGCTTGGCATTTCTTTTTTTTTTTTTTCTTCTCCTTTTTGTCTTTTTTCGTGTCCGGCAACGGATCACAACCCTCAGTGTCGCGCCCGTACCGGACCGGGACCGGCAACGGGATCGCAACCCTCAGTGTTGCGCCCGTACCGGACCGGGACCGGCAACGGGATCGCAACCCTCAGCGCCGCGCCCATACCTCGCTCAGCCAGTGAGCGGGAACCGGTCTGTATGTGGGATCCGAACCCTCGTCGGGAGCGCCACCGCGCTTCCCAAGCGGCGCACTGTAGCAGTGCGCCACCGGGCCGGCCCCAGCTTGGCATTTCTTATTGGACAAACTCAGTTAAGATTCAAATTTTAAACTGAACTCCTCGTATGACCTTCAAGGTCCCACTGGGCCCTTACTCTCGCTCATTGTTCTCACTGCTCCAGCCCCACTGGCCTTCTTTTCACCTGTGAGCACACACGTTTTGTCTTAGGGCCTTGCACTTACTGTTCTTTCTTCTTGGAATACTCTTCTGCCAGATCTTCACATCAATTCCTTCATCTGTTGTTCAGATTTCAACTCAGATATCTCCTCCTGAGGGGCCTTCTCTGGTCACCCAGATACAGGAAGTCTCCCACTCCCTCTCATTCATGTTACCCTTTAATTTCGACTTACCAGTCCATCCAATTACCAAATTTGTCGTGTGTTTCCTTCCTAAGTGGCCGTCTTGCCACAAGAACATAAGCTTCTTGAAGGCAGGTATTTTGTTGTGCCCCACTCTATCCCCAGTGCCTGCCAGAGTGCCTGGCACAGCATTGGTGCTCAATAGATAGTTGCTGACTGAGGGGAGAGAAAAACTATTGTTGCTGCTGCCTACTTGTAAGATTTCCTGTCCACCCTAAATAGCAGATAAAATGCTTTTGCTCTTCTTCCTGCATCTATTCCCTCTTAAACTTTTTTAATGGACTCGAGTGAAATGTGTAATGATGGGAGGGTATAGCTGCTCTAGAATTGGACCACAGTGTCAGGGATGCTCCCAAGAAAATTGATAGCAGTGTACAGGAGGACAAAGACAAAGCAATCTTATTGTTGCAGTTTACTTTCCTCTGTACAAACAGTCTTGGTGATGGTGAAATAATTCAGACACTTCTGTTTTTCCTTGAATTTTGGTCTCCAAAAAAAAGAATGTTAGATGACAGGATTATGCTTGTTTTTTATTTCCAATATGTAGTATTTTAAAAAAATAAATATTTTAAATATCTAAAAATATATTTTTCTAAGCATGTGCTTCTTTTATGATCAGAAAAAGTGTCATTTTTAAAAATGTAGGGCGCAGCCTTATAACACCAAGGTCACGGGTTTGGAGCCCTGCACTGACCAGCCACCAGAAAAAATTTAAAATGTAGGGAGGCGGGGCTGGCCAGTTAGCTAAATTGGTTAGAGCACAGTGTTGTAACACCAAGGTCAAGGGTTCACATCCCAGACTGGCCAGCCGGAAAAAAAAAAAAATATATATATATATATATATATAAAAAGAATCGGGAAGATAGTTATTGAATGTTAACCTTTAAAATCTATTCTTTTTTTTTTTTTAAAGGTGACCGGTAAGGGGATCTTAACCCTTGACTTGGTGTTGTCAGCACCACGCTCTCTGAAGCAAGCAAGCTAACCAACCATCCCTATATAGGGATCTGAACTTTTGGCCTTGGTGTTATCAGCATCACACTCTCCCAAGTGCGCCATGGGCCGGCCCTTAAAATCTATTCTTAATATGAGAGCCCATTCACTTTCTAAAATTCATTAAAATCTATTGATGTTTTTCATCAAGCATACTCTAATGTTTAGGTCTACAGGTGTGAGAGAGTTACCATCCTCTTTTGTTGACTTTGTCAGTGGGAAAGTTTGGAATGTGTCTAAGTGCATCAACAAAGCTTTTTGACTTTGTCCCATTGCCCTTTGTGTTTATTCCTAGGACCTGAAGGCTATTTACGAGCAGACACACAAGATCCCTCCCACTTTGATTCTCAACAGCCAGCAATCTTGGAAGAAGAGGAGGTCATGATAGCTCATGCTCATCCGCAAGAAGTCTACAATGAATATGTGCCCAGAGGATGCAAGAATAAATGCCATTCACATTTCCATGATACACTTGGCCAGTCAGATGACCTCATTCACCACCATCACGACTACCATCATATTCTCCATCACCACCACCACCAAAACCACCATCCTCACAGTCACAGTCAGCGCTACTCTCGGGAGGAGTTGAAAGACGCTGGTATTGCCACGTTGGCCTGGATGGTGATAATGGGCGATGGCCTGCACAATTTCAGTGATGGCCTAGCAATTGGTATACATCTACATATTTGTTCCTTGTTGGTTGACTCTGAAAATGTCACATTAAACACCCAGTCAAATTTTAATAAAGAATAGGTTAATTTATAAGGATATTAGTGACTTTCAAGATTATCAAAATGTTATTTCTTTGTTGGCTACTTTGACAATGAAGTACTCAATAAGTGTAAATACAGTTAAGTGCTAAGAACTGTGCCTGGCGCCCATTACCTAAATTTTTATTTTTTATTTTTTGGCAGCTGGCCGGTAAGGGGATCTGAACCCTGGACCTTGGTGTTGTCAGCATCATGTGCTACTGATTTGGCTAACTGGCCAGCCCCTCATTACGTAAATTGTAATTATCAAAAGTTGTTCTTAATTTGCAAGGTCTTAAGATCAGGCTTTAACATGTAGGGAGCATGTGTGAGATTTTTTTCCCCCTGTACATTGAAGTTCCTTTATCTGTAATATAAGTAATATGAGGGTAGTTCAAAAAGTTCATGGAAAAATAGAATTAAAAGATAATATGAATCTTTCCATGAACTTTTTGAACTACCCTCATATTTGTTAAGGTAAAGTGATCTTTTCCATTGTCTTTTCTTTCATGCTAAAGGAATCTTCATATATCTGGTAAGTCCAGTTACCAATCTCTATCCAAAGAATTATAGAATTCTTACTATTGTTATAGCAGGCTGGCTGGTTAGCTCAGTTGGTTAGAACATAGCCTTATAACACTAACGTCACAGATTTGGATCCCTGTACCTGCCAGCCACAAAAAAAAAAAAAAAGAAACCGTAAATTGTTATGCCACTTTGGGAGATAATAGAATACTTACAAATTTTAGTAATTTAGCGCTGAAAGGAACCATGGATATAATTACCAATTAGACAGCATAGGCCTGGAAAGGTAAAGCCACTAGCCCAAGGAGGCAGTGCTGTTCTGTAGCCAGGCTGAGGTGAGCCCAAGCCATGGGTCCATGGGAGTCTGGTGCTCTTCCCCCTATACTGTATTGTATGCACCATGAGCAGACTAAGGAGGAATGTCTAAATGCTTAGTCATGGTTTATATTGATCGATTGCATGAGCTATTTATCTTAGAGTCTCCTTATGAGATAGTGGAAGAGTGAATGTAAACAAATCTAATCACGTGAATTGCTCAGGCAAATGAAACATTTATACTCTTGACAGCAGAGTTTCTTTCTAAACCTTTTAAATCAGTTTATTTTATATGGTAGCAGTTACTTCTCAGGTTTATGTAAGACCACCTACTTATTCTAAGGCATAGTTAAACCTTCCATTCTCTATCATACCTGCTTGTGCTTCTTTGGGAAATTTAGACCTACTGAAATATAATCTAAGATTTCTTATAAAGAAGATACAGAGTTGGGTTGGGAAAGTTCTTTTGATTCACAGCCAAAATATAGTTTATTTCTTTACCTCATTTTGTGTGCTGATCAGATTAAAAAACACAAGCCAAAATTTTTCCAATTGACCTTTTTTTACACAGGTGCTGCTTTTACTGAAGGTTTATCAAGTGGTTTAAGTACTTCTGTTGCTGTATTTTGCCATGAGTTGCCTCATGAATTAGGTAAGAGAACCATATAAACTGTATTTGCTAGGTGGGAGAAATGTCGTAGTGTCACTGGCTTTTGCTAATAATAATCAAGCTTCTTCAAAACTTCCATTCCTTCTCATAAGTCTGCTAACCTACCTGGCTTTTGTTTCTTACTGAGCACAAGTTTATTTCCAGCCAGAATTCTGACCCCACAAGTATGAATACACAGTCGCCTATGTGGGGTTGCCAGAGTGGCAGCTGGGCCCTTTCTGTCATCTTCTTCCCCTGCCAGATATCTTTGCATACTGTCATACTGGTGATATCAGTGATCATCTTTATACACACACTGTGAATAAGACTACAGGATACAAAGGAATCATTTTACATTAAACAGAGAGGAGTTGGTCAAGAGAATCTCACTGGAGTAGAAGAAAAGGGAAATTGATGAGTTGTGTTTTGAATATTGTTCTTCTTTGTCACTAATACATAAAACCTTCCTTAGTTGTTCTGGATTCTAGTTCATGTGTTTGTTTTTCCTCTTATAGACACATATTCATTCACACACACCCCTGATGCCATTTTCACTTATTTCTTGCCATGTGTTCCACCATTTAGAAGGCCACCCATCTGCCTGCTCAATGTGTGCAGTCTTCAACATGTTATTTGAGTTTCACATTCTAGATCCTTCATGCCCTGCGAAGCCTCTCTTAACTATTTCCATCTTCATATGTCTTTTCTCCTTTTGTAACTATAACATTAGACTCTTTAGCTCTTAATTATGTGTTTTCTTTGTCATTTGCTGGTCATTTCATGTGTGTTCTCTTCCTTCCCCTCCCTTCTTTATGGCCAATTATAAAATCCTTGAAGACAGTGCAAGAATACAATAGTAGATTCATGGTATTTATCATTCGTTGACAAAGTGTAAGCCTTAAAAAAATGTTGGATAAAAGATATTTTAGTTCATGCAGCTGTTAGGGTGATTTATGCTGATTAACACTGCTTTAGTCCTGGGTAAGTTTGCTTTTTTTTTCTGTCTTTCAAAAAAATTAGAGAATTTTCTTGAATGTTAGAAGTCTTAAAAATGATTTTCTTAGATCTGCATATGTATCTTAAAAATGATTTTTCACTCTATCCTTTTGTTTTCTGTTCAGGTGACTTTGCTGTGTTACTAAAGGCTGGCATGACTGTTAAGCAGGCTGTTCTTTATAATGCTTTGTCAGCCATGCTGGCATATCTTGGAATGGCAACAGGAATTTTTATTGGTCATTATGCTGAAAATGTTTCTATGTGGATATTTGCACTTACTGCTGGCCTATTCATGTATGTTGCTCTGGTTGATATGGTAAGTTTTAAGAAGTCAAATTGTATTATTGACTAACAAAGTAGAGAAAATGTTCAGTAAAACATCATTTAAAAAAATGTTTTAGACTGAATGCAGTAGTGATGAGAAGTAATTCTGTATTCAAAGGTGGTATGTGAAAATACAGGTCCTAGAGAGGTGTTGTTTTTTTTATTTGTTTGTTTGTTTTGGATTCTTGATCTCAAGGACACCTTACCTAATGTGTATTTAGGATACACAGAAACATCAACCCCCATCTGTAGGATCCGAACCCGTGGCCTTGGTGTTATCAGCACCGCACTCTACCAAGTGAGCCACGGGCTGGCCTTCATGTATCTTTTTAGAGTAGAATCTAAGTTTTCGGGCATTGAATTGTCTATAGATTTGTAGGAAGCCTAGGACAAGCCACATGTTGGCATGTTGTGTGTACTTCCAGAATGCTTTAAAGTTCGACAAAGTAGTCATTCGAGGGTACTTCAAAAAGTGAAGAGGCTGGCTGATTAGCTCAGTTTGTTAAAGCATAGTGTCATAACACCAAGGCCAAGGGTTTGACTCACCATAATGGCCAGCTGCCAAAAAATAAGTAAAGTTAGTGGAAAAATAGAATTAAAAAATACACATCTTTCCACTAACTTTTTGAAGTACTCTTGGATCGTTTTGACAGCAACGGCCACATAACAGTCCCAGCCAATCTTATTGCTAAAACTGTATTTTACATAGTGTAAGTTTTCCTATCTCTGAATGAAAGGCAAACCACATGTTATATTCAGTTCAGATAAGCAGGCAGTACCTGCTGCAGGGATATCAAGATAGCTTTTCATTTTACAGTGGAGCTGACTGGACCAATAGAAGTTTTTACTTGCTCAGAACACTATGAATAATCATTGTTAATTAAACAGCTAGGAAATGCTGTGACATTAGCTAGAGTCAGTATGTACGTAGTTATGTTTTAAGGAATTGACCCATAGTATATCCAGCTACAAGTAAAGCTAGTATACTGTCCTACAAGTTCTTCTAACAGCTAATGTAGTTCAGAAAACTTAAATGTTACTCTTTTTTTGTTTGTTTTTCTTTAAGGTACCTGAGATGCTGCACAATGATGCTAGTGACCATGGATGTAGCCGCTGGGGATATTTCTTTTTACAGAATGCTGGGATACTTTTGGGTTTTGGAATTATGTTACTTATTTCCATATTTGAACATAAAATTGTGTTTCGTATAAATTTCTAACTAGGGCATAAATGCTAGAGTAGCTTAAAAAAATATTGCTGTCTATAGTTTGAATAGTTCGTAGGGAAATGAGTTTGTATGCTGTGATGTGCAGCACTTAAAGTTAGTAGATATTGTGATTTTTGTATTGAACATTGCCATGTGTTATGCTTATAAGGTCAGTTGTGGTAACATAAAGTTACGTTTTAATATTTAAGTTATTCTGTTTTGGAAATAAAAGCTGTATGTGCAATTCACGATTATTACCAGTTTTTTGTATAAATTGGAGATTTGGCATGACGTGTTCTGTATATTTCAGGAAAAATGTCTTTAATGCTTTTTCTAGAACTAATTTAACACAGTAATTTCCATGCTGGATTTTAGGCCTCTGAAGAACTGCTGGTGTTTAGAGTAAGAATGTGCATGAAGCCTAAGATACCAATAAACCTTGTACTTAATTTAAACTAAGAAATAAAGCGGAAAAAAGAATTTGAGAATTGAGGAGGCGTAGATTTCTTATAAAAATCACAAAATTGGTTAGAAAGTAGAGGGGGAAAGTTTAGATTTAAGTAAAAACAGGCAAAATTAGTATAGAGTGCATTCATAAATTGTCAGAGTATTAATGTTCCTGTAAAAACACAGTGAGCACTTTTCAAATACTAATTTAGTTGTACATTTACCTTTTTTTATAATAGAGAAGTCTAAAAAATGTATTTAATGAATTCAAGCAATATATCACTTGACCAAGAAATTGGAACTCTTAAATATTTGTGTGGAGATATACCAGATGAGTATAATGAGTAATGGAAGACCTGGTTGGTGCCGTTGTATATCACCAAAAGTTGTATAATTGGGTGTTCTGGTTTACTAAATGTTAGTATTAGTACTTTGATATATATGAGGTCATGAAAACCAGACATTGTAATTTGACTTCTTAGAATCAGAAAGTATTTTGGTATCTTTCAGTGCTTCAGTGTTGTCATCATGAGCAATTGTCATTTTAAATATAGTACTGTAGACATACTAGGGCTGTCTGTGGCATTCTCTAGATGTTTTTTTACAAAATAAATTCCTCATGTCAGCTTGATGTCAGACATCTGATTTTCTTTTTCTTTACCATCTTAACCATTTTTAAGTGTAGAGTTCAGTAGTTTTAAGTATATTCATGTTGTTGTGCAGTGGATCTCCAGAACTTTTTCATCTTGCAAAACTGAAACTGAGGGCCAGCCCATGGCTCACTTGGGAGAGTGTGGTGATGATAGCACCAAGGCCACAGGTTTGGATCCTGTATAGAGATGGCTGTTTAGCTCATTTGAGAGCGCGTGGTGCTGACAACACCAAGTCAAGGGTTAAGATCCCCTTACCGGTCATTGATAGCACCAAGGCCACAGGTTTGGATCCTGTATAGAGATGGCTGTTTAGCTCATTTGAGAGAGCGTGGTGCTGACAACACCAAGTCAAGGGTTAAGATCCACTTACCGGTCATCCAAGGGTTAAGATCCCCTTACCGGTCATTTTTTGGGGGAAAAAAAACAAAAAACTGAAACTGTATACTCATTTAAAAAGTCCCCATTCCCTCCAAACCCCTGATAACCATCATTCCACTTTGTTTCTATAAAATTGAGATGTCTGATTTTTAAAATTAATCCAGATTATAGTATACTAATCAATTTTGTATTGTATTGGGTGGCCTTATTCAATTTTTAAATTCTTTATCACAAAAAGCACTTCAGAAAATATTTGGCCATAGTTTGTTCCCAGCTGTCCCTAATTTTTTTCTTTTTAACAGAGGCCTAAACCTGGAGAAGAAGCATTAATACTAGAGAGAATACTCTAGAGAGAATCCGTATTTTAATTTAGGATCTTTAAGATGGAGAACACCCCTCCAATGATTAGGAGAGACACAAAATGATGCTGAGGCAACAAAATTATAAGCATTCAGGGCCGGCCCCGTGGCTCACTCGGGAGAGTGCAGCACTGGGAGCGCCAAGGCCCCAGGTTCGGATCCTGTATGGGGATGGCCAGTGCGCTCACTGGCTGAGTGTGGTGTGGACCACACTGAGCCAAAGGTTGCAATCCCCTTACCTTTCCAAAAAAAAAAAAAAAAAAAAACAAACATACACCAAAATTTTTTTTTTAATTTTAAAAATGAAGAAAAAAT